GATTAGCCTATTATCGCTCTCGTAATTCTAGCTATTAAATTCTATAGCTCTAACGTCTTTGCCTAACCTATTATAGTAAACGCAAATCTAGAATAGCACCTAGAAGAATAACTTAAGGTCGTATATAAAGGAGTGCTGCTCGTTGCCTAATAGTGCCCCGATAGCTATAAATGCCCTCGTACCTATCTTCCCTTTCGCTCCCGAGGCATCTTTACGTTAGGTTCTAATAGCGAGGTCTAGGTTAATTAGGAAAGCTCGCCGGGAGGGGTTTTTATCGTCCTTATTAACTATAAAAATATAAGTCTAGAACGAGCTCGGCTACGTTATACGCATTACGACTACACCGAAATAGCTCTACGATTTATCGCATATACCAAGTTAGCTAATCTTAGCTTACGGACGATCCTTATATACCTTAGGCTAGGTTAAACTAGACGTATAGTAAGTTTGCCCTCTACGGGACTAGTTATAAGACTATTATTATAAAGAGGAGACGGGGGAAAACCGAGCTTAGCTTAATCTCGTAGACGCTATAGGTTAAATTTATAAGGAAACGGCTAAGTAAACTGCGCTATATTGCTAAATAGAAAATCATACCGGGATATCTACTTTAGCTAGCCTCGACTATTATCGGCTCTTAGCTAGTATAGTAGTATCTTAGATTTAGCCGCTATATAGTAAATGCTCCTAGCTCGGGTAGTCCGACTCTAAATATATATATTATTTAGTTTAGCATAGTACTAAACGCAGCGAGTCGCTCTATTTTATACTAGGACGGTCTAGCAAGCTAGTTCTATTATAGGCTATATATTGCTAATTGCATTATCGCATTTATAGTATATATATTAGATAAGTGCGCGATAATATCGCTATTAAGCGATATTATTAAACCTTCTAGAAAACAATATTACCTAAGTAGACTAAGTAGTAACATCGCTACCTTAAGGCAGCTATATAAGTATAAGAAGGGAGAACTTCTTAATTATTTTAGATAGATAATAATAAATATATTTAACTTATACTCTCTACTTCTATTCCCTGCGAAATATATACTCTTAACGTAGACGGTAGCTATGTTTTCGACCGCGAACGCATCGAAGGATTAGCGTTTTATTTTACAAAGCTATAACGCTTATCTTACTAAGCCTGCTTACTATATCTTACTAGGCCGTTCCGCTATCTTAATAAGCCGGACCGTTCGTTATAGTAAAATCGCGCCCGTTCTATATCCCGATATAAGTAGTAAGATACCGTACCGACTTAAAGCTACTTCCTATCTTAGATAGGACTTAACTATATAAACATTGCCGGCGAAACTTTACCTTTAAGGTATAGGTACTTATATGCCTTAATCGCGTCGCGGAGCGCCCCTAGGAGCTACGATATCTTTTCGTACTTATAGATCGCTCGGCCTACCGGGGAGATTACTAGATATCGAAAGACTCGACTATTATAAGGTCCGATGTTAGGAGCGAGCAGACTCGTCCTCTAAGCTTCCCTAATATTATATATAACTTCGTCCTGCCCTTAGCTCGACCTTTAACTATTAGATCTTAATCGCTTAGATTTCCGGCCGATATTAACCGGCTTACGCTTTCTTAACGGCTTATTAGTAATGCTTAAGCTATAAAGCTTTCTAAATAACCGAGAAAGGGCACCGGGAGGCTAAGATAGGGAGAAAGAATGCGAAAAATTCGACGTAGTACTTAGAAGACCTCGGAAGGAGTAAGGCCTCGTAAATATTAGGCCTAATTATATTTTATTAATACTAGTTATGCGACGATAGCCTATTAACTTAGCAATGCCCTCGACTTCTCTTTAATAGCCTAATCTTAGAAGATCTACCTCTAGCTTTCGCCGGTTAGACGTCTACGAAAACTTCGCGATATAACTCTAATTCTTAGAGTCCGGAGGCTTCGTAAGATAGTAAGACGCCCTACGGTAGACGATTGCCCGTTAACGGGTAAAAGGCTACGATTCTAGCCGCAGCCTCGTCCTACTTAAAGCCTCGTCCTACTTAATATATATTAAGCGACTATCGCTATCTAGCTCTATAAAGGTATCTAAGCCTAGTTCCTCGTTATTTATTATTATATAGCTAGCGATTACCTATATAAACCGTTCGGGCTTCTTATAGATATCGAACGCGCTAGGACTATAACATCCTAAGCGGTTAAATACCTAAACCTCTATCTCGCGCCCGTAGATTATAAACGCGTAGATATACTAACGCGTCGGCTAGTAGGAGAAAACATCTCGCACGTGTTGGCCGATCTAGATTAGCGTCGCCTTTTTTTTTTAGCTCTTAGACACCTTAAGCTTACCTATTACTTCGATATCCCTTCGGAGAGTTATACGCGGCATCTAGCAGCTACCTATTCTTTTACTTAGCAAAGAGATTAATTTATCGCTAAGCTTCGGCACCGATAAGATCCTTTAGGTTTATAGTTAAGTAATAGCCGCGTCGTTCCTTTAAGAGGAAGTCGTCTTAGAATCGGACTACTAGTCTAGAAATTCGGCCTATACGGGCGGGATAGGAGGATCGGTCTACGCGCTATCGACGTGCCGATGCTTCGTCGCCTTATAGACGTTTAAGGCACGGCACGTTTAGTCTCCCCTCTAAGTATTTCTATCGTAATATATATAGAAGCTGATCTCTTTAAATACCTTTCTTTCTAGTCTGTTCGGCACCTTGCTAGGAAGCGGAGAAATAAGTAATAGGAGTGCTATCGTACGTGATCGGGACGCTTAGAGGTGTTACTCGGGCGAACATAGTTATAGGATTAAGCACGGCGCTATATCGAGTACCGGTAGTGTATTAAGTAGTAAGTATATCGAGCGGTCTCGAGTAGGGAAAGGATTTTACTCCGTACCTTCCTCCTAAGCTACTATACCCGTTCGGTGTAGGCGGGTATAGTTCTCTGCGATAGCCGTGCAATCTTATACCGAGCTTGCACCCTATATGCACCTTCTTTCGTTCCTTAAGGCATTTCTACACCCTTCCCTGCATTTTTACTTTCTTGGCACGCAAGTGTTAAGGAAGTAGCCTATCCATACAGCTTTTCGCTTAACAGTGCTCTTGAAAATTCCGCAACAGCGCCGCGCAAAGCGCCGGCAGCGGCCATGGCACCAGCCTCAGGTTCGCGCGCCGCTCCTGTGCTGTCGACATACAATCGCCACCTGATCTAGCAGCCCGTGCATCTCAGCACCTACTGTCCTCTCCGGCGGAGGCTCGCCCAAATGTCTCAACCCTGGCGGCTCAGCAGCCCTCGACCGACGTCTCCCAGCGACACGCCCAACGCTGCCGTCGCGGAAGGAACGCAGCCGGAAATAATCCCGAATGGCCCTGGTTCGACCGGGTCCACGGAAAATGCACCTGTCTCCATCATCGAAGCGGCTACAAAGATCGCTCGCGACCAAACGGCAGCCCATGATGCCAAGCTGGCAGTCTTTCGGGCCTTTAGCGAATCATTCGAACAGACAGCCAAACAATTCACGTCCGGCTCCACAATAGCATCGCAAAGCAAGTTGCCACCAAGTTTCTGAACCTCTGGACTCAATCGCTCGCCGACCTTGAGGAACCACCGAAACCTACGTACAGCAGCGTTCTCGCATCCGGCAAAACGACACAAGGACAGCTGGCCATTACGGCCTCCGCCCCACCACAGCGAAAACAGCAAACCACCACTCGTCTCCAAGGACGACCGCCCGTGGTCCCACCCAGGAAGACCTGCGTGTCTTTGTCCGACTTGACGCCGATGCTCCGGCCCGAAACCATGAAAGATACGCTATCCGGGCCCACATCGCCGCTAGAGTCGGCATCGACCTACGCCGCATCCCGGCAGCCTTCCCGGTAAACACGGGTTGGGCCATCCTGGCATCGGATGTGGCCACGCGCGAACTACTCGTGCAGCGACAGGCGGATTGGGCCGTAGATCTGGACGCGACGGCCGTAGAGATTAGCCAGAAATGGCATTCGTATGCCGTAGCCGATTGCCCCGTAGGCTCACGGACCTACGCGGCGTTGAGATCAACTTCGATGAGGCGGTCAAAGAAGAAATTGCCTGCCAAACCGGACTGAAGCCCATCAGCATACGGACCTCGCGACACGACTCGGGCGATATGCCTACCAAGACCCTTATTGTATCCTTCCTGGAACCCACGCAGAGACCCTGGCGACTGTTCGGCGCCAGCCGGTTCGCCCGCTATATCGACAAGCCCAGCATTCCTAGCCAATGTGACAAGTGCTGGGATTTCCACGCTCGACACAGCTGCGATCGAACGGCGCGCTGCAGGCGTTGTGGCAAACCGGCCATCGTAGCCAAGAATGCACCGCCCTCGAGCAGTGTGCAAACTGCCTTGGACCCCATTGCGCGGATGACCCCAAATGCCCTGCCCGCCCCAAGCGCGTTCACGGCATGGTCCGGCGCCTGACGAAGGAGGAGAAGAGCCTGGTACGGCAGATGGGAGTTCAGCTCTGCGCAGCAGCGGCGGGACTCCAAAGGCCAGAGTGTCCGACCAGTCTGATCAGAGCCCTGGCAGGCCGCAGATACTTTCCTTGGAGTCAACGGCGCCGCGGGCAGCTGGAGGAGATGGAAGCTCCGACATGGGCGCCATTTACGAGCCAGCCGCGCCGTCAACCCCATGCATCGTTGTGGCCACAACGCCGCCGCATGTAAGGGACGGCGACCAGTTCCTCCCTGTCGTCCCATCGAAGAAACGACGCACTAGTCCTGTGACGCTACCTAATGCCTCGCTGTTTTCCACGCAATCGAAGCGATAGGAGGATCTTGCGAATCTTCCAAGCCAACGTAGGCAAGATTCCGCCGGCACACGATTGTGCCCTTGCGTTGGCCGACTCGGAACAATACGACATTATTTTGTTGCAGGAGCCATGGACAGGACTGAAAGATGGCCGATGCCTCACTAAGACGCATCAGGCCTACGACACCTTCTCACCCGTCAACGACTGGGACGGCCGCGACACTCGCCCGAGAGTCATGACATACGTCCGGCGTTCCGCAGGTCTCGTCGCTGATCAAAAGAGACCTGCGGCGACTCGTGACATCCTTTGGCTCACCGTCAACGGCATAACAGTCGTCAACTTCTATCGGCAGCCGTACCACGACGGAGCCCTTGAAATCTTGCTTCAGTGGACCGTACCGGACAAGTGTCTTGTTGCTGGTGATTTCAATGCCAAACATCCCAGCTGGCAGGCCGGTCGACGAGAGGACCGCGGCGAAGAAATAGCGTTTTGGGCAATGGACAATCGACTCGGCTTACTGAATCCTGTCGATGTCCCGACCAACGCACACGGCAATACGGTTGATCTCGCCTTCTGCAACATACCTCTGGCCGACGCTGTTGTCGAGGATCATCTAGCAACCGGCTCCGATCATTTTACCCTTAGTATCACGCTGCCAGGACAAGTTCTGGCACCCTTCCAATAGGAAAGATCCATCTCAACCCGACGAGGAATTGAAGCGATTCATTGAATTAGTGGAGGCCGGTGCCGCCTTCATCCCGATCACCACGGCATCTCCTTCCGAGCTCGACAGCTTTGCGTCGGCGCTCGTGAACCTTCTTGGTTGTGCAGCCAGAGCTGCCGGTCGACCTGCCCGTAAGACTACGCATGGTGCGCGGTGGTGGACTGAAGAATGCGCAAAGGCGGCGGCCAATTACCGCGCGTGGAGGAGAGTTCACTCTCTCGGCTTCGACCGAGAAGTACAGCTAGCCAAGAGGGAGCTCCATAGCGTGGTGCGCCGGGCCAAGCGCCTTTACTGGCGTAACTTGATTGACAGCTTCACCGATAGCGCCTCCGTCTTCAGGGCGGTCCGCTGGCTGAAGTCTCCAGGTCCGTTTCAAGCTCCTCCTGCAAATTGACGACCGAGTGTATGAGACGCAGCTGAAAAGGCCACCGCCTTGCGACAAGCCACTCTGGAACGGCGCACGGCGAACGACGACATCCCAGATCCGTGGATCTCCGTGAACACAGATAGGACGATACCCTTCACCGACCGAGTCTCTCCGGAGGAGACCCGCGACGCCACGCTACGCACCGGGAATACGTCCCCTGGTCCCGACAATATTACGGTGCGGATGCTCCGCGCTGTCTGGCATGCGATCGGAAGTCTCGTCCACCAGCTATATCAAGGCTGCCTCAGGATTGGCCACCATCCGAAGCCCTTCCGAGAAGCAGAAGTGGTCATGATTGCCAAGCCGGGGCGCAGGGATCTCTACACCCCGCGCTTGGCGCCCCATCTCCTTTTGTCCTGTCTCGGCAAGGGCCTCGAGCGGCTCATCGCACGGCGTCTAGCGTGGGCCTCGGTCCATTTCGGCGTACTACACCCACAACAAGCCGGCGCGCTCCCGAAGAGATCGGCCGTGGATCTCGTTGCTGCCTTGATTCATGACATCGAGGAGGCATTTGCCTGCAAGCAGGTTGCAACATTGGTGACTTTGGACATTCAGGGCGCCTTCGACACAGTCCTCCGCAACAGATTGATCCTTCGCCTACGGGAGCAAGGGTGGCCACCGAACCTCGCGCGATGGGTCGGCTCGTTTATGCAAGACAGGTCGGCACGCATCCGCTATCAAGATATCGCAACGAATTCATCGCCTCCAGTGCGGGCTGCCACAGGGATCGCCAGTCTCGCCGATCCTCTTCCTACTGTATACGGAACCAATCTACCGCTTGGGCAGCTCAAAAGGGCGTTTCGGCTATGCGGACGACACTGCCATCCTTTGCGTCGGCGATAGCCTGGATGAGACGTCCGCCGAAGCATCTCATCATGTGCGTGAGCTTGTATCGTGGGGCGCCGCCAACGGGATCTCCTTCGACCCTGAGAAGACAGAAGTGATGCACTTCTCTCGAACGACGCCCAAGACGGCGCCGCCAGTGCTCCATGGCGAATTTGAGAAACGGCCGGGCCGGGCGATGCGTTGGCTCGGCGTCTGGCTCGACAGCACTCTGTCTTTCAAGACTCATGTCGAGAAATGGACGGCCAAAGCGCAAGCAGTCGCCTTCCATCTCAGGAGACTGACAAACACCAGGCATGGTCCTCTACCGAGCGCTGTGCGACGAGCGGTCTGCGCTTGCGTCATTCCAGTGCTGCTCTACGCGGCGGAGGTCTGGTATCCTGGTTCTACGCGCCCGCGCTGGACCAAGCCGGGCAAGGAAGGACCGTCCAGGATCGGACACCTCGTAAAGAAGATGAGCAAGGCACTCTACACATCTCTTCGGGCTATCCTGCCAGTGTGGAGAACTACACCAACGAATGTTCTGCACCGGGAGGCAGGGATACCGCCGGTCCCTCTGCTGCTCGAGGCGCGCCGGACTGCATTTGCTGCGCGTCTCAAATCCCTGGACGAAGCTCATCCGCTCGTGAAGCGCACGTCGAGGCCAAAAGCCCTATACTGAATGAAATGATCAAGCTGAAGTACCAAAAGCAGCCAAACCCTTCCGGACTAGGCTGCGGCGCTCCGACGAATTGCTACCAAGCTGCCCAAGGCCTGCCTTGCTGCAGCGCGGATTTGTCGAAGAGCAGACTGCGCCTCTGCAGAGTGCATCGAAAATGAGACGGCGAAGAAATTTCGCGATTGGCTCCAGGCACTATCGCCCCGAACTCTGGTCGTCTATTCCGACGGGTCCCGTTCTACCGAAGGCCACGCCGGATATGGCTATGTTGTTCATCGGGACGGATCCACCGTCTTGCGCGACAAGGGCCGTCTCGGGCCCGCCGAGATTTTCGACGCTGAGGCGAAAGGTGCGTTGGAGGGGTTGAAGGCTGCGGTGAGCCTTCCAGAAACTGACCGCATCTTTGTCTGCCTCGACAACCTCGCGACCGCAACATGCTTACGGGGCACGCCGAGCGACTCCTCGCAAGAGGTCTTCCTTGAGTTTCAATCTTTGGCGCGAAAATACGGAGCTGTGGAGGTCCATTGGATCCCCGGCCATGCTGACATCCCAGGCAACGAGGAGGCTGATGCTCTGGCAAAGGCGGGAGCATCACTGCCAGAACCCGCTGATAACGTCCCGACGCTAGCGCACCTGCGAAAGATTGCCCGACAGCAGCCGGAAGAGGCTTTCAAGGCCTGGTGGGAAGCCTCTGCGCCGGAGCGATACAGAGACCTGAGGCTTAAAGCCACAACCAGCTGCCCGTCAGAATTGGCGCTCTCGGCCCCTGCTTCGTAACTTGCTTGCAGCAAGAACCCACCATGGGGATTTTGCTGACTACCACGAAAGGTTTGGTCACGACAATGCGCGACTGACGTGCTCGTGCGGAAGACGAAAGAGCCAGCACACATCTTTTACTGCAGAAAGGTTGCGCCACGGCATCGTATGCGGCTTGCACCTTGGCCGGCTGCAGCCATCAACCGCGCAATCGGCAAGGACTTTGACAAATTCGTCAGGCTGGCGAAAGCGAGCTCCTTCTTCGGAGGGATCTGCCCACGCCACTAGACGGTCATCATTCTCCTCTCTCACCCTACCTTTCCTCTCAATCCTTTCTGTTACCTGCTCCGATCTCGGGCGGCGTCAAGGTCTCGCGACCATGCGATCGCCGAGGTCATCAAGGGCTGCAAGGCCCCAGAAGCAAATTGGCTGATCTGACCACGGGACAGCTTTCTCTTCATGCCTGGACGTCCCGCTGACGGGCAACAGGTTTGTCATGAGCGCCGTTGAGCCGATGAAATGCTGGATAGTGGGTGAAGTGTACGATATGTAGCATGTAGACACCTGCTAGCTCAGCACGTCCTGTGCTCCCCTGCGGAGACCTGAGCGACCAAAAGTTGCTGGACGGAAAATACACTAAACTAAACTAAACTAAACTAAGGCATTTCTACGTTAAGTCCTTTCGGCCCGCGAGTTGATCCGCTATCGTACTAAATTACGGACGCGGCGTATTAGGCGACGGGTATAAAGTACCCGAATACGCCGCTAAATTACGGGCGCTGCTTATATAACTCTACTAATAATACTTTAACCGACTTATCTCCTTTATCTCCTAAAAGCATCCGTTCCGTTTCCCTAGTCTCGATAAGGTTAAGATAGAACCGTCGCTAAGCCCGAATCGACGCACTAATATAGAGGCCCTTTCTATCTACGAGTCGGCTCGCCGCTAACCGAGAAAGCGCATTCTTATCGAGCCTCTATTATAGACGAGACTATATCTCGAGATCCTATCGTGTATATTTAGCTAATATAGTCCTGCCCCCCCGGTTATAATATACCTTCTATCGATAGAGAATGCTTTTTAAGATGCTAGTCGACGGCGACTTTTTAAGCGCTACTTCTTTAATAATCGACACTTATAGGTAGTAAAGGAAGGATTAATACGCGGGTTTCTTTGCCTCGAACCTTTACTATTATCTTAGCGGTAAGTCGATGTATATACTAAGTAGCGTTATCTAACCTTAGCACCTATAGTTACGATCTCGACTTATATCTTAATAGCTATCGTAGCGTCCTTCTTCTATGCTACTACTACTGCCTTAGCGATTATATCCCCGTAGCTATATATATCGACCGCAGCCGCATTATCTCTTAACGCAAGAAAAGGGTTAGGCCGACGATACGTCGATATAACCCCCCTGCCGTTAACTTAGGCAAGCTTTAACTTAAGATAGTTACTCCTACCGAGTCGTTGCACGATCTGTACCTAGTGGCGCTCTTAATTGCCCTCGGCTAGCTATAATAGAGGGCGTTAGGACCGCAAAAAACTTAGCAGGCGGCTAGCGTAACGGTAAGTATATATACCCTTATCTAGATCAGCTAACCTCCTAATACGTTAGCAGCCTAAGCTTATATTTAGCACCGAAGATTGCAATTTTATATATATCTATTCGGTAAATATATCCTCGTCCCTTATTAATATGTTCGATAACCTAGCTATAAAGCCGTCGGCGCCTAATTCCCTTACTATATAAATATCTACTATTCCCTATAAACCTATCGAAACGTTTCGTGGTCGTCTCTTAGCGCTCCTCCTCTCGGCGACTTACCCCGAGGACATAGATAAGTCGGAAAAGTTAATTATATACGGATATACGTGCACCTAGATATAAGCGCTAACCCCCTTAAAAGGTTGCGGCTGCTATATATATACTGTAAACTATAAGTTATTACCTACCCCCTTTATTATTCTTATATTTACTAATCCTCTTGATAGCTAGCCTAGTATACGGCGCTTAATAAAATACGGCCCCTAAATTAAAAGCGGCAAAACTTATTACGCTCCCCCGCTATTACTCTTAAATATCGTCGAGGTTGCCCGGCTAGGGATATACTTGCCTCGCTAACCTACTACTGTTTCTAGTAGGACAGCTAATACTTATTATATCTTTTGCTCTTCGTAATATGCAATAATTATATCTTACTACGATATAGTTAGAGACGCGTCTACCTTCGCGTAAAGAGGCAAGGGCAGCGATAACCTCTCTGCTCTAGTTTATTCTAGGCACTAGAAGAGCGCCGTTAGTTAATAGGGTCGCGAACACTTATTTACGCACCGCGTCCTCTATAAGGAGCCTAAGAAAGCTCTGCCTCTCTTTAAGTCTCGTAGGCTCTTGCCTCGCGACCTAAGAAACACTAACGCCTACATTAACGCTCTGGTCTAAGGTCCGGAAAGCATCGACGCCCTTAAATACCAAGTAGAGCCTTAGCTCGTGCAGTACTATAAGCCGGACAGTCTCGGCTACGTCTAGGCAGCCTTGGCTCTATTTATGCGAGCTGGCGCCGGCTCTATTTAGGACGCCCCCTCGGACATAGTAGTCCGGGAAGCGTCTAAACGGACGTTAAAGAGACCTATAGAACTCTAAAACTTTGTCCCGTCCGACTAGGTTACCTTCGGGAGCTCCCCTAACTATAAATATTGTCCCGTAACGTCGGGCTCGAATAAGACTTATTCGAGCGCGGGCTACGTTAAGGGGCTTATAGCACCACTCGTCGAGGATACTACTATCCGTCTCGCTAGTTGCTTTATCCGCTGCGTACTAAATTACGGCTAGCACTAGGATTAGATAGTTCTATTTCTCTACTTCTATAACGAGCGTTAGACGTATTCTTTCTCGTAGGGCAATCTATATATCTACGTAGTCGATAATAGGGGCATCTAGTTTATCGACGCGAACGGCGATCACTAATATATAGCGATGCTTAAAGGCAAACGGACGTTCGCAAAAGTTATCGACGGGATTCTAATTGTCTCCGACGAGCTGCTAGGCTAAATAGTAGGAGAGGCGTTAGCCGTGCGATGCTTAGGCGTTCTCGCGGTCTCTACTACCGAGTAAGCTCTTGCCTCTAAACGTGCTAGCCTTAAACTAACTATAAGGTTTTTATAGCTTTATTACGATTCTTACGGCCAGCTACTTTATAAAATTCTTCTACTTTTATATTTCTAACGCCTTTCGTCGTAGCTATAAGGAATCGCTCGCTAATCTAGATAGCTATTTATATATACACTCTACGATATAGTTCGATATAAAGAACAACCGGTATAGAGAGGACGTTATTGCTTATATCTTTGCTCTAATAGCCTAGGCCAAGGAATATATATAATAGGGCGGTAAGGAAGGGGCACCCGCTATTTCTTTATTTCGAAGTTCGCTATAGGATGCGTAGAAGGCTTAGGCTTCTTCGCTATTACGAATACCCGGGCGTTTAAGAACTATATATATACCTAGGTCTTGCGGAAGCGCGTCTTTATAATCTCCTCGGTGTCTTCGCGCCACTCGCAGTCTACGAGCTGCTTCTTGTATATTTCGATCTCCTTCTTCTTAGAGGATTGCTTTAGACCAATCTACTCACTAAAACGTCACCGTCCTTAGCGACGTAGGCCTAGACGTCTTCTAGCTACTTCTTAGCAGGCTCGCGTGTCTTCTTTGTGTGAATACGAATCGACCGCGTGTTAACAACACGCTCTCCGTCTACTTCGATCTATATAGCCAGTGCGTCCCTAGCTTTCTTCTAGTGCACTCTCGGTAAGAATCGTGCCACCACGTGATAATGAGGCGTAACGCCATCCTCGTGCAGTTCCCTGCTGCTAAAGATCTCCACGGTCGCCGTGCCGTCGGCACTGACTCGAGGGAGGTGTGGCTCGATGGTCTTCCTAAAGCTGTCAAAGAACTCCATCTTGTCGTTGATGCGACTCTTCGAGTATGTGATGAAGGCAAGCTCCGCTTGAAACTTGAAGTCACGCTTCTCCACCGTCCCCTGGGGCAGTTCCGGCGACTTTCGCCGCCTGCTCTCATATCCACTGTCACTGACATGATTCGCTTCGGATCTAGATAGGGCCTACGACACGCATCAACAATCCGTCTGTCGGTGGCTCGAAGGCGCTCGGAGTCTTGTGCATATCGCAATGGATGTATGGTCTTCTCCTCAACGCAAGGCATACATCGCTGTTCATGCGCAATGGGTCG